AGAGCAGGGAGCCAAGGCTGCTGCAGCCTCGAGGCCGGGCGGGGGCGGGCGGTGACTAAGTGCCACCCCTCCCACCCTGAGCGCCACCTGTGGTCACGTGCCGCCCGGGGGCGGGCCGGAAGCTGATTCACACCCCTGGAGGTCTACAGACCGACTCCCCCTGCCCTGCGCTGCCCCCATCCCCTCAAAAAACTCTGGGGGCCAAAGACCAAGAGCTTTTAGAACACTGAAGCCCAGAGAGGGTCACCGTTCTCCCTCAAGTCACACAGCGGGCACCCTCTAAATCCTCATTGGTCCTGGTCAGACGCGCTGTGTCCAGTCCCGCCATGGGACAGAAAGTAGGGCGGCTTCAGAGATACCCAGGGGTGCAGTCGTGGAGGTAGGCTTAGGGCCCTGGGCTGCGAGCCCCAAAGCAGGAGTTAAGCTTGGGCTGACACCTAAGAGCTCCCACAGAGCCCTCTGTGGGCAGAGCGAGTCGTGAGTCCCACTGCCTGCTGGAGGGGGGATCCGCTGGACTGGGCCACCCGAACCCCCAGGCTGAAGGGGTGGAGAGGGCTGTGGCAGCCTGAGGTCAGACCCAGCTCTCTGTTCCGCGTCCTTGGGGCTTGGGACCCCGGTTATGGGGGGTGTGGGGACCACATCTAAAGGCAGGCTGTCAGGGCGGGTAGGCAAAGCCCATTAAACCTGGCCCAACAACAGCCTCTGCCATACCGCGGCCAGTGAACCAGGCGTCCAGCCGCCCTCCCCGGCCTCCACCACTCCTGGAATTTGGATAGAAATGGCTTGGGGCCCTAAGGACAGTGCTCCCGAGCTGCCTGAGGGCTGATTGATCACAGCTCTGACCTTCATAACCTTCCCCCAGCTCTCCCCACTCCCCATCCTCCAATCTGGCTTCTGTGTCGGAGTCCTCTGCCTTGAGTGATGACCACCCCTCCTGAGCCAGCACCGTTGAGTCCCCATCACTGACCCCTCAAGCCTCAGGTCCTGCACTCCCTGAATTTTAGCCCTACCCACTTTCAAACTGGCTTCAAACTTCAAAAGCTTCAAACTGTCTCAAGCAGTGGCCCCAGGGAGCCATTCCTCCCAGGTCCTTGCACACACACACACACACACACACACACACAAACACACACACACACGCCCGCATCTCCCTGGGACCACAGAGGGGCAGGCCCACCCAGTGGGCCAGCCTGCATTGCAGTTCTTGGAGTCCCATTTATAGCCACCTGCTACTGTGGAACCCCAGCAAACCTCACTGGTCCTCAGTTTCCCCTTTTGTTCTTCCCACTGCACAGAGGCCCTGGGATTTTATGAAGGGAGGCCTGGCTCTCAGGGTTGACAGGCCTCAGGCTCTTTCATCTTTGTTTGCACTTCCCTGCCTATTCAGTGATTCACTGGGAGTTGTGAAAAAATGAACAAGAAGGTCACATGTACCCTTCCTCTGATTCCTTCTATGACAGCATCTTGCATAGAACTAGTACCTTTGCCAGAAATGAGCCATGGAGCTCATTCAGATTTAATCTGCCCTACATGCACTGTGTATATGTGCATATGTGTGCACATCCGTGAGTGCACAGCCTTACCACATGTTTGTTTATTTCAAGTTTGTGTGTCCACTGTCACAGTTAAAATGTAGGCCTGCCTCATCCCACAAAGACCTCCCTTGGTACAGCCATGCCCACACTTCATCCTTAAACCCTGGCGGTCTGTTTGCTACTATTTCTGCCATTTCCTTATTTCAAGAACACCATATAAATGGGAAACACAATAAATGTAAGCTTTGGGGATTGACTTTTTCCCTGTTTGGCATGATTCTCTGGTGAATCATCCAGGTGGTTGTGTGCATTGCTACAGAAGATTCCTAATTCGTGATAGGAACACATCCAGATAAACACAGCCCACTATAGAGCATTGGTTATTTCTCCTCATGATCTCAGGGTTGGCTGGGAGCTGTGGCTCGCTGCAGCTGCCAACTCTCACCAGGAAGGATCGTTCCAAACAACTGATAGCCTGGGCAAAGATCCACGCTGATGATTTGGAGCAAGGTTTCTATAGAATGTTTATCATTTTCACATAATCATAATACAAAAAAAAATTTAAAGTTCCAACAATAGATTAGAGACCATCTGGTTCATTTTTTTTTTTTTTTTTTTTTTTTT